TGGTCAGTGAGCATGGGCTCCTCCCCCACTCCAACACATAGAATCCCTCTTTTTTTTTTGAGATGGAGTCTCACTCTGTCGGCCAGGCTGGAGTGCAGTGGCGCTATCCTGGCTCACTGCAATCTCCACCTCCCAGGATCAAGCAATTCCCTGCCTCAGCCTCCTGAGTAGCAGGGATTACAGGCGCCTGGCACCACACCCAGCTAACTGTTGTATTTTTAGTAGAGATGGGGTTTCACCATCTTGGCCAGGCTGTTCTTGAACTCCTGACCTTGTGATCCACCTGCCTTGGCCTCCCAAAGTGCTGGGATTACAGGTGTGAGCCACTGCGCCCGGACAGAATCTGTCTTTAAGTGAGATAATGCAAATCAAAACATGATTACTAGGCTTAGAACTAGAAAGAGAAATAAATCTTTAGTTATAAGAAACCAAGAGGGATGTCAAAACCAGAACGGAGAGCCAGGCCAGCTTCCCCACCCACCTCCTGGGAGGCCTGGAACCAGGCTCACCCTAGGGCCTGGGCCCTATCAGCTGGGGTTATGTCATGGTGGAGGTGAGGGAGATGGAACAGAAGCCTGAGAGGGCCATGGAATGGGGACCAGAGAGCTGCGCCCTGGGGCCTGGAACAGAAGCAGCTGACCATCCCAGGCTGGGCAGGGAAACAGTCTGGCAGGGTCCACTGTGCATTGGCACCAGGCCTGGGGTGGGGCCTGAAAGCCAGGGGGAAACCAGGAGAGCCTCACAGCCTCTCAGAGCTTGGGGGCTCCCTCTGCCCATGGAAAGCAACTCCCATTGAAGATGCACTTACAGCACAGCATGATATATATGTGTGTTTATACACAATACATGTAATCTGTGAATATATGTATGTTTACCGGGCTAGCCAGCTGGTGCTCAGAAAGAAACAAATCAGCATGGGGGAGGGGGTTAGCAGATGCAATGGACGAGAGAGAGAATTTCTATTCTTGGAAAAAAGGAACAGAATGCAAAAGAAAAGAAGAGAAAATGATGAGCAAACAGGCAGCATGCAAAGAACAGATGGACTTTGAGAAAAGAACTAAATCGAAATTCTCAAAATGCAAATTGAGGTTGGTGAAATGAAAAACTCGGTATGTGTCTTAAACAGTAGTCTAGGTGGAGCTGAAGGGAGAATGAATGAATCAGAAGATAGAACCGAGGAAGTCACTAAGATTATAGCACAGAGGGATGAAATTACAGGAGGTGTGAAAAAGAAGTGAGGCAGAAGATACAGAGAGAAAGTACAGAAGGTACATTAGAGACCAGGTTGAGGTCACTTATGAATAGCTGGACATCTGGGTTCTTTCTAGAAGCCCAGGCAAGATCAGGTGATTGGTGATGAATCTGCAGGTGTCCTTCTTCTTGGCCCTGACTTGAGTTTTGCTTGTGGATATTTAACTTGCAAGTACTTTGAGCACAGCACCTCTGTCCTCAGTTTGGAAACTTGGTACAGTGAAGTAAAAGTGCTGAGTCTTTTTGCTGAAGGACGTGTCACGTGGAGTTTTCGGTGTCTGGGCTCTGGGGTCACTGAGGCTTTCTGTCATCCTCTGCTGAACCTGCAGCATGGAGCTTTGCATTTATGGCCACTGTGATCTAAAGGTTTCTCAGGTGGAGTTATAGCTGATGGGCCTACAACATGAAGACACTGGAGAGAAATCATTCAGCAAAGCCAGCTTAGTTCCTACTCTGGAGGAGCTCACAGACCGCGTCCTCTTCCCTGCGTCCTTCCTGACCCCTCTGCTTCTTCGTCCAGTATGGAAGGGCTTTAGGGATCCTGGCTCTGTGAGGATTGTCCACAGGTGGACAATCAGTACGTGCTCCTGGCTTCCCGCAGGCTTTGACCCAGTTTATGTCGTTACCTGTCTGTCCAGTCCCTAGGGGACAGAGGGCCCCAGCTGGCCTGCATATCCTGCCATGTGGGCCCTGAACTATAAGTGCAGTTTCCCAGGCCCCAGAGCCTGGGGACGGGGTGGGGCCTGGGGTGCGTCTTTTAAAAGCGCCGCCTTTAAAAGGCTGTGCTGTGGCTGTGTGGAGGCTGACGGGCTGCCCGTGTCTGGGAACCTGAGGTCAGAGCAGGCCATGGTTGGGTGTGGACAGAGCCAGGGCTGCCATTCAGGATCCAGACCCAACCACCACTGCCTGTCCTCTGGGCTTTCCAGTCCCCACCTCGTTCCTCAGTGAGTCCGGTCGAGCACGGCCTGTGTGAGGCCTGGACGTCGGTGAACTGCGTAGAGGGCTGAAGCTTTGGAGGCTGGCGGTGCAGGTGGGTTCCCCAGCAGGCCTGGTCCTTCTGAGGGGCACGTCTTTCCCCTGTTCCCTGTCCCTGTGCACACACCCCTTTCCTCCTGCCCCTGGCTGTCTGTGGGGAGGGAGGGAAGGGAGAGAGGGAAGGGCGTCTTCATTCGCTTGTTACCTGGGACTCGGAACAGATGAGGTAATAAAAGTAGGGAAAATGTCATCCTTTGACCTTTGCGCTGTCAGAAGAGTCGGTTGGGGCTGTGGGCTAAGGGGTGTTTGATCAGTGCCCGAGAGCGGGGCCCCTGGGGACACCCAACTCTCTGTCCTAGGAGTGGGTGGGCATGGCCAAAGGCACCCTGGGAGCCACTGTGGGGCTTCCCTTCCCCCGCAGGGAGGGGCTTCTGCTCCTAACCTTTTAGGTTGGTGGGTTTCACCTGCCCTGGGTCGTGGGTCACTGGGGTGTGGTCCCCCATGGTGGGCCCCTGAGCTTCCCCCTGTCCCCAGTGCCAGCCTGGAAGCCTGAAGTTCAGGCCGATGTAGGGACGGGGCTCCTCTGGCTGAGCCAACCTGTTGAAGGAGCTGCCCCATCTGATGCTGCAGGCACTCCAGAGCCCTTCAGAGGCTACTTGAGACACAGTCATCTTGGGGCAAAGTGCCGCAAGCTCGAGGCTGAGGCTGCTGTGGTCATAGCAGCTATAGAAATTGTCCACAGGAGCCACAGATGTGTGGACACAGGAGACCCATGTTCCGGCCCTGGCTGGCTCTCCTGCCACACCTCCTCTCTGTCTCTGGTTCCATCTACACGACCCGACCTGGGGCCTTTGTACCAATTCCAGGTGGACAAACAGGTTCTCCTGTGTTGACCGAATGCTGGTGCCTCCTTCAGGCTCCGTGGAGAAGGTTCTGAGCCTGGGGCGGTTCCTCCAAGGAGTTGATTAGCTACATGTGCCTCGGAGGTGTGTGAGGAGCCTGGAGTGCCCTGTGGTTGCCAAACCTTTGAGATCTAACATTCTTCCAAAGAACTATAAGGACATACAGCAATATTGCTTTAATTTTTGTTTGCCCTAAATGTTTAGAGTTCTTAAAAGACAAAAATGCCCACTGAGCCAAGTTGCTCATTCTTTGTGAAAGGCCCCTTGTAGCACTGGCATGGGAGTGCGGCGGGGCCAGCCGCAGAATCGTCCCATTGAGCCTTGTCTTCGGAAGCACAGGAGGACCCTGTCCCTCCATGGCTCTAGCTTCCGTGAGACCAGCCTGGAATCACCACCACGTGCGGGACAGCAGACGGCGCCTGCTCAGGGCCAAACCCGCCAGCTTGCCAGGCCCTGTGCTTCATTTTCTTTCCTCTCTCCTTTTGAAAATTGCTGCTGGAAGCAGAACAGCCTGAAAGGAAGCCTGGGCTGGAGGTGTGCCCGGCTGGGGTTTTTGGGCAAGTGACCGAGCCTCGGTTTTCCTGTCTAGTAAATGCGCACCTCGGGACGGCCCTGTGGGGTTCCTGCTGTGCGGCTCACAGAGCGCCCTCTGGGATCCGTTCTGAGGACGCCAGCACCCAGTGGAGGTTGTCTGTGGATTCAGCACGTCGCCGTCATGGGCCTTGTTCCCCACCCCCAGACACACACATACACACATTTACACATGGCCATGTAGGCATGCAGTGCACACACAGACTCAGAGCACATGCAAGCAACACGCACATACGACCACACACATGCACATACACTTGCGTGAACTTTCACAGGAACTCACATGCGTACTTTGGATAGTCAATGTTGAGGCTGCATCTGCCTCCACAGGGCCCGAGCCTGGCTCGAAGGAGCTCCATTAACCCTATGAATTGTGTTAGCTTCCTGCCCTTGTGTGTGACAACCTGTGCTGCTGGCCAGCGACCTCCCTGTCCCCTGCCCCGGGTTCCCTAAATTTATCTGCAGAGCCTCTTGCTCTGTCCCCAGCCCACCTGTCCTTTTGGAGACCTATGGAGTAGCTGTGTGGGCTTTTGATGCTGGGAGATGGGAGAGTCCCGCCTATCCAGGGCAGGCATACATCACGGGGCAGTCCGGTTATGGGGAGCAGAGGGAGGAGGATCGGCTACTCTTCCTCGCCAAACCTTCCTCTTGACCCGTCTGCTGGCCAGGCAAGACAAGGAGAGATCCTGTCATGCTGCAATGCACCTGCAGCTCCTGTCCTTCTGTGTCCCAAGCCCTCCATGGAGCCAGGTGCCTGTTTAAATGTCATGGAGCAGGGAAGGCTGGAAGGGAAGCAGGTACTACCCTGGGACATCTGTGTGGTGCCCTGGCTGCTGGGTGACTTTGGGCAAGTCACTTGACCTCTCTGGGCTCCTGTTTCCCCTTCTCTGAAGGTTGGCGCCTACTGTGAACATGAGCTGTAGTTACTCATACGGTACCTTGCAGAACAGCAGCGGGGGATGAGTGAGCCCTTTGTAAGGGTGGCATCGTGAAGCCCTGTGGCAGTGCGTGACGGGGTAGACCTTTGCTGGGTGAGAAGGCAGCTCAGGAGTCATTAACATCATGGCCACAGGAGCTGGCAGGGCAGCAGCGCCCAGCACATACCAGCGCATCCAAATGACAAGTTCAGCACAGCAAATACAAAACAAGTGTCTAGCCTCCAGAGCGCTGCGCCGTGTTCTCCCCAGATGCGATGTGCTGCGTTTGCCTCCCAGTTCTGTGCTGTCTTTCTGTGTCTGTTTTCTTGTGAAAATTCAGGAGTGTCTTTCTTGTCTCCCCCAGGTCATCTCTGCGGTGTCGAGGCTCTCGCTGCACAGCATCGCGCAGAGCAAAGGAATCAGGTGAGGTCTCCAAGCGCGCCAAGGCCAGGTCCTTTCATCTCCATCGACACCAGCCTGCTTGTCACCGCGACTGGGGTTGAAGCAGGTGCCCTCTGCCTGTGTCTTTATCACACATTTGCAGCGTGTTGTCACATCGCCTGTTGGTGGCGGGAGAAAGGGGTGTGGGGGACGGGAGGGGGGTCTTCAGCTCACACCGGGGAAATCTTGCAAGCATGTTACTGACAGCCGCAAAATCTCTTCCGATTTAGGTAATAAGATCAGCAAATTAATCCTTTCACAGATCGCTGCCTACCTAAATTCACTCTCCACACATCAGAACCAGGGGCTCTGGTGAGCACGAGGTAGCTGGGTCTGTTTGCAGGGTTGGGCTGGAGCGGGGTGGACTTGCCTGGCTGCGGGGCTGGGGGTCTCTGTGCAGGGCATCTGGACAAGCCACACCCAAGGACTTTCTCCACTCTCCGTTTATTCTGCTTGGACTGCAAAGTTCAGCCCCAGTGAGTCCCATGACCCCTGTGATCTGGCCTCCTGCCTCTGACACTTGGGGCACTCGGGCATCTGTGAGACCAGGGAATGACCCATATAAGAACTGGTCACTGTAGATTCTGACCCACAGATTGAGGTCAGGGAGACCAGGTTCCCGATTGGGTGGGGACATGTGTCTGGGAGGCCCTTGGGAGGACAGGGGCCAGCAGGATGAGAAGGCTGGGATGGCAGAGAGAGCCTGGCCTCTGAGAGCAGAGGGGATAGGGTCACATCTGGACACAGGTGACGTCATGAGGGTGCCCCGACTTTGGGAAGGGGCCTCACCCTGACGTGACCTGTGGGGGATGCTGTGTGTACCTGCAGGCTAGGGGGTCCAGGATGATGGTGCTGGAATATTTGCGTGGTGCAGCTACCCCTTGGTGGGGGCCATTTGCCCAGGTTCACAGAGGCACTGGGTGGGGGTACATATTTCTGAACCCACTGTTACTGGATTCTCAGAGGACACGGAAATTCCTTTGAATTGAGGTTTTTGAATAATGTGAAACATAGACTTTTAAAGTTAAATATTAAACACATACAAAAGAACATTTAGATAGAACACATTTTGGGCATAAAAAACAACAGTCAGAGAAAACCCCTGTGCCCGCCACCCTGAGTAATGTCTGGAGGGCGACTGAGCCCTGTGCCCGCCACCCTGAGTACTGTCTGGAGGGTGACTGACGCCTGTGCCCACCACCCTGAGTACCGTCTGGAGGGTGACTGATGCCTGAGGCTCCGCCCTTCCCTCCACTGGGAGCTCAGGCTCTTTCCCAGCTGGTGCGGACTCTGTGATAGGCACCGTTTAAAACATGTTAAATTTTTTAAAAAATTACCCTTCTTGATACAGAGACCGTGGTTTTTTTTTGTTAGTTTTTGTTTCCAGAAATGATGGTTCCTTCTTCCTCCCGCCGGCCCCTGACACTCCAGTACTGGCAGTGACGTGGCTCTACTTCCAAGCCTGTTTTTTTAAACATATTATTAGGCAGGAATGAGAATGATACAACACAACTCAGTCGTTTTAATCGCTCCTGCTTGAAATACTGGACTTTGATCTCTTCTTCAAGTCCATAGCCATTCTCTGCAATCCGGAGACCCAAACTGCAAACCGGCTGTAGACCCGCGTCAGACGAGTAACCTGATTCTGTTTGTGGGGAGCCAGGTGGCCCAGCTCGGCCTTGGCGCGGTCCTGCTGCAGGTGCCCGCAGCCGTGTCCCCGCTCCTGCTGCAGACTAAACACCGGCCTTGGCCACAGCTGCGCCCGTGTCAGGCTCTGGATACCCCTGCCCTCTTGAGCGTGAGGCGCCCCATCTGCAGCTCTGAGGGCCTATTTCCCTAGTGGTTTGCAGGTGGCAAGGGGAGCCACTGGTGGCTTCGAGGGTGGTGGGGACCATGGAAAGGGCTGGGCCTGCCTCTGTCCTGGGTGTGTGTTCTGCCGTCTGATGAGTGGGGAGGCCCTTTGAGGCCCAGGGTGGGCACCCTCCCTCCTGGCCAACCCCTCCCTTCCCTACCTTTCTGGCCCCTCCACCCAGCCAACCCCAGAGGACATTGTTGGTGCTTCACGTCACCCCTCCCAGGACGGGCAGAGCAGCCTCCCCAGGGATCTTCTGGCCCTGGCCCTGGCCCCGGGGCTGGCAGATGTAGAGGGAAACCTGCCCTCTTCCCTCTCAGGTTGGAGAACTGCCCAGGCAGTGTGTGGGCACAGTGGCCCCCTGGACTGGGATTGCAGACCCCAGCCCTGAAGGCTGCTGCCCCATGGAAGACCCGAGTGGAGGCATAAAGAGCAAGGGCTGCGTGTGGGTGGCCCCAGCTCTGAGGCCTGCGTCCTGCTTAGCTGTGGGCCTCGCACCGGAGGTGTCTCCCAAGCCTCCCTTTTTACATCAGCGAGATGGGGATAGGCACTGGGGGTGTGTGTTGGATTTGAGGTGAGACCTGTAAATCCCTGGGCTCTATCCCGGCCCAGAGAAGGGCTCACTGTGCTTAGTGACAGTCACACGGTATATGTGGGGTTCCCAAGACCATCCTCAGGTTCTGATTTATCAGGGGAAGCCATTAGGGCGGCAGAGAAAGATCTAGACTCCAATCAGCAAAAGGCCCCGGGTGGAGCCAGGAGACATGGGGCGTGGATTTCCGGCTGTCCTCCCCCATGGAGCCTTCTGTACAGCGCTTAGTTCTCCCAGCAGCAGGGTGTGACAGGAGGCACATATGGCAGCAGGCACAGGACATCTCCAGGCACAGAAGCCCACCCAAGCCCTGGAGTGGGGGTCTGCGTTGGTGGCCGATGGGGTCAGGGATGCCTGTGAGACTCACCTTGGTTATGCCATCCCCAGCCCCTCCAGAGGCCACACTGGCACTGTACTGCCCACAGCCGACCGTAAACCTCATCACAAGCATACGCCGTGTGGCCCAAGGCCCCAGGCATACAGAGACGGTCTTCTGGGGAGGGCTTATCCGGCAGACACCCCAGGGCTGAGAGGTCAGAGGTCACCTCCTGGGAGCTGAGCAAGAGCCAGTCTTTTCTTTGGCGTGTGGAGGGATTGAGTACCCCAAGTCTGCTGAGTTACTGCCTTCTGCATGCACACAGGCCAGGCTGATGTGAGAGAGGAAGGGGAGGTGTCTGCAGGCCGAAAGGAAGGGCTCCTGGGTGCAGGGCGGGGCTTCATAGGAGACTCTGCAGGGCCCCCTCCCTGGGGCCTGGCTTTCCGCTCCTCCTCTGTGCCCCACTCTGGGACTTTTCCTGGGTCCTTTCCCTCTGTAGCCCTCGGGGTTGAGTGCAGGACTCCACCGGTTCCCATGCTCACCTGAGAGCTTGGGAGACAGGTGACAGGCCGCCCTCCCAGGCAGCCCTGCTTGGCGGCTGAGTCTGAGCAATGTCCCACCTTGCTCCAGATGGGCGGAGATTTCCATGGCGAACGGAACGTTCTGGGGGTAGCCACCAGCATTTCACAAGACACTAAGTGTTTCATTTCCAGCGTTTTGTAGTGTTAGTAATTAGCAAAAGGTTTTAGTTTAGCCAAACCCTTTCCTCCTGGAAAACCCACAAACCAAGCCCACATCCCTGAAGAACCTCTCCCTCATTTCGTGGCTGGATAGGAACTCGATGTGCTCCTTTGAAAAATCATTTTCACAACCCTTGCACTTTGCATAATGAGCTGATTTTCCATAAAAGCCCCAATTATGCTTCTCAGAGGCTGATGAATTGGAGACTTAATCTCAGAATCCCACCCTGGTGCCAGCTGGGGATCAAACGTGCCGGGGTGGGACTGAGGGGGAGGGTTGTGGTTGTGGAGTGGGAGAGGAGTTTGTGGAAGGCACCAGCGAGGCACAGGGGGTTGTGGATTTGCTGTGGCCAGAGTTAGTCCTCCAGATTGGGGGTATACTAATTTGGGGCCATCACAGCTCTGAATGGCTGGGAGGGAGGACATGGTGAAGAATAGGCCTCCCTGAGAAGGAAGCCAAAAGATGTCCTCAGCCTGGGAGCTCAGGACCCATGAAGGAGACCTCCATCAGCCAAATGACCCTTGGCAGGGATGCTCTTGGAACCTTTGTCTCTTCTTCTGTAGGCTGGGAGCATGGCCCTGCTTTGTGGGATTGCAGTGCGTCTGTGCACTGTGCAGCACCTGGTCCTCGGTGAAGGCCCCCGCCTGCTAGGTTGATGTCCTGAGCCCCAAACCCCAAAAGTATGAAAAGGAAAAGGGTTTTTGCAGATATAAATACGAATAATTGTAAGAGGGAGGCAGGAAGATCAGAGTTAGAAAAAGGAGATGTGACAGCAAAGGCAGAATTAAGAGTGGTGGGGCTGTGGGCCAAGGAATGCAGGCAGCTTCGGAAGCTGGAGAAGGCAAAGGACAGGTTCTCCCTGGCGCCTCCTGAGAGGGATCGGCCCCTTGACACCTTGACACCAGCCTCGAAGACCCACTCCAGACTTCTGACTCCCTGAACTGTAAGAGTCTGTGTTGCTTGAAGCCACCAACTCTGCAACTCTCTGGTGACCTATTAGAGCAGATGCAGAGCCCCCTGAACGGCTAGGAGGCTGCCTGAAGGCCCAGCTAGGTGGCATATCTTGGCACATACCAGCATGGGGTCGTGGTGGGGAGCTCGGCTCTGGCTCCTCATGGGCTCCTGGCTTTGACTGTCTCACCCTGGCCTAGCCCTGCCACCCTCTCTTCTGCTCTCTGACTTTTAGAAATTGAGATACATTCATACCACAGGAATGTGACGCTTTGAAAGCACACAGTTCAGTGGCATTTAGCATATTCACAATATTGTGCAACTGCCACCTCTGCTTTCAAAACATCTTCACACCCCAGAAAGAAACTGTCCCCATGCACAGTCACCATCCTCCCCAGCCTCGGGCAGCGCCCAGCCTGCTTTCTGCCTGTGCGTTTGCCCTTCCTGGACGGCTCATGTCCATGAAACCGTGCGGCGCGTGCCTTTTGTGCATGGCTTATCTCACTCCACATCGTGCTTTCACGGTTCAG